AATTTTGGTGAATATTTTGTCATTTTTGGTAAAAAGTGATATTTTCGACTTCTTGTTGAAAACTGTAAGTCCGATTGCTTTGATATTACATATATAGGTACTACATGTGGACCTCTCTCAGATTTGTTCGTTTTGTGATGATATCTTCAATTCTCTAATTAATTTATTTTGGTGAATATTTTTGTAATTTTTGGTAAAAAGTGATATTTTCGACTTCTTGTTAAAAACTGTAAGTCCGATTGCTTTGATACTATTCATATTGTTCATTTTCTAATGATGTCTTCAGTTCTTTAATTGAAATGTGCATTGCTAACAGCGGAGCTATCTCAGCCGATAGGCTGCTTGTTTTTCATGCCGTGTCTATACCAGCCTCGCGTCTAAGATGTTGATTGAAATCGGTGTAGGCCTACCATGTTCGATGTTATTACGATCGGCAAAACAAACACCTACTGGCATTTTATTTCTAAAATTACGAAATCATACCTGAACAATCTGAAGTTGATCTCAACCAGGGAAATATCTTCTTCCACGACTCATCAAAACCAGCCTCACGCCGTTTCTGTGTTTCTACACGCTTCCGTTTCTGTGCTGTGCTAGCGGTGATTGTATGTTTTAGCCGGGCTGCATCACCTTTTTTTCCTTTACATGTTTTGTCATATAGCATCTCGGTGTTTGCAACTCGAGTGACAATTTGTTCCCCATTGACAGTGTCTGTACTTCACACGTGTTTAACAATTCTCTAAGACAGACCGGAAACGAGACAAAAACAAAAGATTTTTCAAGTTAGCGTGGGGGAAATAACGTTGCTAAGTATTATCGTCAGGGAAAGCTATTGTTTAAGCTAGTCTGTGATTGGTTGCTGGCAATGTTTGGGGGATTTTGACCAGTTTGTGACGTAGGCTTGTCTCTTAGAGAATGGGACTGTTTAATTCGTCCCGGCAAGTTCAAACCGCCGTGGTGTTGACAGTGTTTATTTATGCAGTGCTACGTGTGAGTGGGTCAAATGGATGTAAACAATGCATCCTATTAGCATGCCGGTGAAACTGTAAGCATGGCGGTCCGAGCCCAAGCGTGGCGGCCGGGTCGCCAAGCATGGCGGTGCCGCCATGCTTTGTTCTATGTGGGGAGAACACTGCAGGTGATATGTATAACATAATAAAAAATATGTACAGTAAGGTAAAATATAAAGTCATGGTCATGGCAGATTAACAGACTCATTCGTAACATTGGCATTCACACACAGCTAAGTGGTAAAAAATAATCCACTTTTAAGTCCAGATCCTAAGCACAGGCAAAGTTTGCTCAAACCTTCGCTCGAGCATCAAACCACTAAAGAAGCTTGAGCTAAGCACCCAGAACACTATTGTATTCAATGCCCATTCGGAAGATTTACTATTATATAATCATCTCTGACATAAAAATCAACATAAGCACATCTAAGGATATTGTTCTTGAGAAAAATAAACTGACAATGAGACTCTGTACTACTTCCTGTTATTCTGCAATCTGCATTTTCTGAATTTGCTGTGGTATTGTTTTATAACTTTTATTTTGTCGCAATAAAAAATAAGCCAATTTACGCAAATGAACGTTAATCTCTGACTATCGGCCATTTTCGGAGTCAATTGGGCGACTTCGGGAGATCACGTGATCGAGTTGTTTTGGTTATAGCATAAAAATATAATAAAAAACAATGGCGCCAAGACAAAAACACTGATAAATGAGCGACATTCAACACGAAAAAAAAAAACATTGCCACTGCTGGCGATCGAAGGGAAACACGGAATAAGTCTGGGTATCTCGACAACAGCATACCAAACCCCACGTTTCGCCAACTTTCGCAACCTTATTCTTTTGAGGGTTAAAAAAACGAGAAGTAATCCAAAAATGATATTGAAAATGATGAAAACTCGCTAAACTCCCATCCGTTGCACGACTTCCAGTACACTGAAGGTCACCCTGCAGACCGACTTGTTTGTGCATGCGTAGTGAACGAAATATTTTACTGCGCAGATATGAAATATTTTTCTTCAAGTTTTCCGTTCCCAGCAAAGCGGGCGCATTGGTGGCAACTAACATCCAGTATGACTAATATTGTGGAAACAAAAGCGAGAGCACTGTAAGATAAACTAAGACAAATGTTTTTTTAATCCTCTTAGTTTGGTTGTTCTTCCTGTGGTTTATAGTTCCATAACTGTACTGAGTAATCATAGTTAAAACAAAGACAATAGAAAAGATCTTTCTAATGTCTTTGGTTATAATGACTGATAATTTCTATATTAAAGATAGACAGTACTGAAAAAACATTGGGGTGAGTTCATTTTGATTGAGCTTCTTGAGTTGTGCGCTGTGCCACTCATCTAGGAACATAACAACTGGGCTTGTCATTGTACATTACTGCCCCCCCCCCAAATGGCTGTTTTTGATATTGGGTAATAGGTTCGTTTTATCCCGATTTTAAACTAGTGTATATGTGCTTTATTTTTGTTCAGTTGATTTTAAATTATGTATTCCCTACGTAATTTTGTGTCAAATTATATAGACTTTTTCTGTACTATGTTACTGTATATTTGCTTTTTTGAGCTGGGGGTGTTTTTTTTTAGAAATGTGGTCTTCCAGACTTGCATACCCCTATATAATTAATACAATAATAGTTAATATCATTCACTAGGAGAGTTCTAAGGTCTGTACTGACAGGCTTGCCAGAAAGATATTCTATTCCAAGCTGATTCGCCTGCATTACCCGGTACTACTGCATTAACTGTTAAGTTCAAACATTAAAACATTTAGGACATTTTGTCATTAGATATTTTTTAACTTGTTCTGAAATTAGAATATTAGATACTTTAAAATTGTTTGGGGACCCCACCCACCCACACACACATGATATTCTATATTTAACATATAATCATGTGTTTTTTTACAGAATTACACAAACAAAACAGCTGACGTCTGCTAGTATCTACTACTTACTAGTCTACTTGGAGTGATTGATTCATTGCTTAGAGAAACATTTAATTTTCTATTCAGTATGGAATATTATGTATACTTGTAAGTAAATTTCCATGTTGTAGTTATATCTACTAGTGTTCTCCCCAAGCCTTTCAAGCACTGCAGGCCCTCGTCGCTTAGACAAATAGCCGCGTCGCTTTCGTTTTGCCTGCAATGCTTGAAATCCTGTCCGCGATGCTTATTCACGTTGTATTGTTTACAAGTGTCAGCCTCGTCTAGCACATTTTTAAAACAATAACATGTATTAATCGAAAGGTAATCCCGCCTTTGCACATGGTTAGCCTTACAAAAACAGTGATAAAAACGGAAGTCTACAAGAAGTTATCAAGTCTATCAAAGGTGCGAAGCTGGCAAACCCAAAATACTAGAGTGGTAATAATTTGCCCATTGTGTTGGGATGGTCAATCCCGAGTTGCTGCACTGCGGTTAATTGCGGTTTTTACTACTCCGTCGCCGATGACACTAATTATCAAGAATTAAAAAAAAAAAAACAAGTGAAATTAAGTCGCATTGGAATGAAAACTGTAAATAAATCGAAGCAAAAATTATTCAATGTGATTGCGGTCACAAAGATGGCGGTGCAGAATGCATGTTTTTCCGCAATGTTTAAAAACAACATTTCGTTGGCGATTTTGATGTAATTTCTAAGATAATCGTCAATGAATCGTTTTAATTAACCAAACATTCTAAGTTTGTGTATTTTTAAACAAAAAAGTCAGTGACCGATGATCGCAACAGCAGCGGAGAATACCCGTTCGTCTCAATTTCAGTGATCGTATCGTTACGCATAAGGTATAGATAGATCAATGAAAAATTGCTGACTTTAGTTTTGAAATGCCATTGTAGAAAGAAATGTCACTATTGATTTGTTAATTTTTTCATATTCTGATAACCCAGACTATACCCCGGAATTCCAACTGTATATGGAGAAACAGAATCTGGAA